TACCTTCAGCAGTTTGCACTAAGTTGTTCTTTTGGCTGTGTTCTGAAGTAGCTCATACCCTTGTACCTTCTGGTTAATGGGTGAATTTTGTCAGTGCATTCTATCTTTATTTGTAAGAGTTCTTCCTTGAAGTCAGATTAGGCTATCAAGGGAACTGTATGCTTCTAAGATGTTTGTGTAATGTTGATTAATGTGACAGTGCATTGTAACTTTATTCTAATAATTCTTTATCATTTAAAAGCATCTTGAATTCAAGATGCTTTAACTTTAATGCAGATTTTCTTACGAACCATCCTAAAAACTTGGTTGCAATAATACTGCTGAAAGAACATTGGTTTTGTTTTACGTGAATATCTTCCAGAAAGAGAGACTTGAACCTTAAGTAAATTTAGTGGAGAACAAAGAAGTGGCACTTCAGGAAAGTGCTATGGAGCAGCTATTTCTAACATCAAAACATCTGGTAACTTGCAAGCTTGATGGTTTTCTAATTATTGAATACCAGCTACATGTAACTATAGCCATTATATAATCATGTTTAAAGGTGAGAGTAAGGAAAGTGGTAAAGATCTAGATAATATGTAATCTTATTTAATTCATGTTTATGAATGATGCAGAAAAAAGTAAGAAAAACACTAGGCCATAGATATACACTTTCATAGAAAGCCAAGTAGTGAAGGCATTTAGTACAGATCATTTTGGAACCATATACAGGAGAATACAAGGACTGATGTGAAGTTCTGCTTATTTCTTAGAGTAATTAGCTATAAAATCCTTTTTTATTTTGAATTATTAACCTTTCTCATTATTTGCCTTCCCACCATCAAAGTCATGAGACATAAAGGTGGGATGAATTAATTTCATTTTTTTTCAAGAGCAAATTTGAAGTGAATTCAGTTTTGGCTAAGATAGAAAACTTTATTTCATAGAAAAATTCTCTGGGGAGGTCCAGGAGAAAAATTAATATTGTATTTGCATACCATAGTTAGGATCACAGATGAACTTCAGTGGTACCCAATTACCTATATCTAAGCAAAAGGCAAAGCCTTCCCTCCTAAATGATCTGTTTGAGACATTTGATAACATCTATCTCAATATTTTAGATTGTCCAGGAAGCAATCAGCTTGGCAAAACGGTCAGCACAGACATATATATATATATATGTCTATGCAATGAGACACATATATAAATGTATATGCTGTGAGACACACAAACACACGCGCACAGACACACACACACACACATATATATATGCAATGAGACAGAAAGCTGACCTAAGCATCTTCCTGTGTTCTACCCTATTCTGATTTTAGTTGCATCAGTATAATTCCATATTGGCATCATTCCCTCTTTTACTTTATTTTGCATCGCCATATAAAGCTACTTTTAAGGTGTCTACTCCATCCTAAATCTCATTTGATCTCTAAGTAAAAGTTCTTAAAACTATCAGGACAAGATGGTCATACCTTAGGAGGTATCCTAGCCAAACTAAGTGTATGTGGTTTTCTCTGTCCTCAAGATACAGCCCTGTAGTTAGCTGCAGATTTTTTCAGCTGAGGTCTTTGTGATGTCAGAGTATTTTATTTCATTCTTGTATTCTAGAGGTTTAAACTGAGCCCTGGGGATAAGGCATGATGCTGTCAGGGGCAGGAGTTCAAATATCTTTTCTTTCAGTTCTTTTTCTTTATAACTGATACTCTCATTTATTTATATCCAATCTTAATTTAAAAAGAGGTATGGCTAAAAATATGCACACATTGCAATTACATAAAATGAATTTTAAAATAAGAATAAAAAGGAAACAACACTAGGAAACTCAAATGAAGCCAAAGGTAAATTTAGAAAGTAGAAAGGGATGCTCTGCAATGTAAACAGGAAGATTGCAAGTATTATCTTTAAATAATTTTTTTTCACTTCTAAATGAAGAGAAAACAAACCATTACAAGAATTGAAGTGGTCATGCTATTAATACTAACTAATACCTCAGGAGGAAACAAAAATTTTGCATTTCAGTTCTCATAGGGAGCACTGGGATAAAGTTAACAACATCCTCAATGATACCCTCTCCAGTGAGTACAATACAAATTATTGTAGGCATTTTCTTATTGTCTACATTTAATATAAGCCCAGAGGTGACAGCAACATGAAAACTCAGTAAAAAGCACTTTTATAAAACAGTGATCATCTGAAAACAGCAATCTCTGAGGACAGAGGACTATAATCATGTCATTTTGTTCCTGGGATAAAAAACTTAGAATATATAGAGCAGTAAACTGGCAAAGTCATCCTGTTTAGGCCAGAGTAAATATTTTGGTTTTGAAGGTCATATGTTATCCATCTCAACCTCTTAATTCTGCCTTTTTAGCATGAAAGCAGCCATAGATAAAGTGTAAGTGGATGGGGGTACCAATAAAACTTTAAACAAATAGATAGTGAGCCAGATTTGGTTCACGGACTGTCGTTTGCCAAATCTGATCTAGAGAAATAGGTTTTTATTCACATTAGAGGTTCATCTAGTTTGTAACATCTCAGAGCAAATTTTTAATAAATACTTGAAAGCAAAGATTAGAAATTCAAGTATATCTCTGAAATTAAAGACCTGAAAGACATTCTATTACCATTTAAGGGTACCATATGATATAGCTCCCCAACCAGAAAGTGATTGATATCTTCATTTAAAAAGTAAAAGATTTACCAGAGCTACCTTACCTCTGATTAAAGAAGGATGAATGAGTGTAATTAATTGGGGAACATTTCCCCCTCACCCCAAAATTCTGCATTCTACAGAACAAATGTATGTTCATATGTGACTCATGGAAAGTATAATAAAAAATCATGTGCACCTGGAAATGATCACCCACCTACCAGATCTGTGAACACAAGCAGGTTTTCTCACCTATCTTTAACGAAATCTCCTTATCAGGAAATTGGACATAATAATTTATTCCTCACAGGTCTGCTATGAGGCAAAATGTTTAGCCATTAGATGAATGATTCATATGAATTAATAGATCATAGTTTGGGCCCTAAAGAATATGCCAGAACTCCCAAACTGTTGCATACAGGACTGCACCCAACTCATAGATGTATTTGCTTTGTCCTGTGAAACATAGACTGCATAAGCATCTGCGATGCAAATGAGAAAAAAAATATGGTAACTTTATATGAAAAAAAATAGATTTTAGGGAAAAGAAAAACAAGTAGAAGATCTGGCTGCCTTAGGCCTGCTGCATTGAATGAAAACAGACCGTGTGAGCAAGGCATGTGGCCTCCAGTGTGCACAGCTGCTCCTGGACACCTGTCACCCTGGAGCTCAGACTGGGCACTGCTACCATTCACAACCCAGCTCGTCCTGCTGTGTTGCTTTAGTAGTGTCCCGAAGAAACAAAAATCCTTCTTGGTCCCATGTATATGTCTTTTTCTTTTGTATATCTGGTCTGCATCATTTTTTTCTATTATGTGGCTCTTGTGAGGATCACAGAGTAACATAAGTCAGGAGGTTAATAGTAGCTCTGTGATAAAGGAATTCTCTAGTTAGGTAAGTTTAGGCATGCTTAAGGAAGCAAAGAAACCAGGTGTCTTCTGTGTGCCTCTCATTATCTTTTAATATATTAATGAACAGTTTCAGTTTCCAAGATAAGAGTGCACTATACAGCGATCTCAAACTCATTCTAGAAAATACAGTATTTAAATTTTTATTTTAATGCCCTATACATCATGGTCACTTAGCTATTGACCACATTTTTCCCATGGAACATGGTTTGGAAACAATGCTATTAAAATCCTCATAGATCTTGTAATTTTAAAATAAGCATCCCAGATATATTTGTTGCGAATGGTATCCATCAGTTACCTGATAATTGAACCTACTTTATAACATTACTGGATAATAATAGTATCAAGAGTAATATAGGTAAGATTTGTTGAATACTTAGAGGCAACAGGTAAGCACTTAGCTAGATTATCTTATTTAATCTTCACAAAAATTCTATAAAGTGGATTCTCTTTTCCCTCTTCTATAATGGTAAAAATGAGGTAGAGTGAAGCTAATATCTTGCTGGTCACACAACTGCCAAATAAGGCAACTAATGTCTTTTACCCTTACTCTTAGCTGCTGGACTTCACTGCCTTGACTTAATGCAGTAAGAGTTGGAAACATATACTCCAAATCATATCTCAATTAGGTTGATCTTGGATTTGTTTCTTCCTGTATTAATCATATATAAATATAAACTGCCTGTTGAAAATCACTCTAGCTCTTAAATATAAAACCTTAATAAAAGTAGAAAAGTATATGTTAGATTTAATTTTGTATTTGCTGGAACATATGGCTGGCTAATTCAGTAGACTCAACCAATTTATAAGAATTAAAAGGGAGAGGTCATGAAACTTCTTGCTTTTTGATTTTAAAATAGTGTACTATTTGATGAGGGGTTTTCTAAAGAAACTGATACTCGTGGTTCTATTAAGGCACAGATTTCTTCTATCAGTCCCAGAGCGTACTGATTAGTCTTAAACTGTTCTCTATTTAAAGAAAGTGAAGGCCAAAAAAGAACATTAAAAGCTAAACATAATGTTCTGAAATCTTTTCCACAGACTGATAGAAATTTAACAGTGCTTAGTAGAGAAATAGATATGCCTAAACTCCCTTTGAACTCATGTGATCACTCCTCACCTTGCCCTGCCATCTTGTGTATAATTTTGCCCCAAGAGGTACAACCTTTTAATTTACTAAAGGGAAAAAATATGACACAGTGTTGAGACGATTTTCAGATCTAGGGGTTGATAGAATGAAAAAGAAGTTAAGTTTTTCTAGGTAGTTGGTAAAGGGCAAGGGTTGGTAGACCTGGGAAGCAAATTAAGATTCCAGCATGCTGTGAAGTTTATTTTAGAAGCTCTAAATTATGTGGGTCAAATTCCAAGCCTTGTTGAATTAGTTGGGGTTGCCTTTAAATGGGTCACCCTCTAATCATGCCTTATTTGTCCCTCTGGTGTATTTACAGGTACTGAAGATGGATGGGGATCATTAGGTATCTCTTATTATATTGTCCCACAAATATCTTAACCGTGAGTTTTTCAGAGTAATATTTTTCCATTTGTGTCTACAGGGTAATATATATTTGAAGAATTCATGACCATACCTCAATGTTCATGTTTCACTGAGATTGTTTCATTTTCATCCAGAAAAAAAGATTTATTTTATGTAAATAATGTATATTTTTCTGGTTCTGAAAATGATGTAATTGAAGACGACTCGGAAAATGTTGGTATGAAATATATGACTTAAAGTCACCCAATAGCACATCTACTTCTAATTACTTAATTTGAATTGTCTATTCTTTTGATTTACATATGTTTTTTCATGTAACATTGAGATCACTTAGTATATATATTTTTAATAATTTCCATTTTAAAATGAACATTGTGAACATGTTATCTTTAAAACAAGATGTTTAATCTGGGTAGATAAGAAAGCATATATTCAATAGTTTTATTCAATGAAATAATTGCTGATTTTGTGCAACTTAGTCTCATATTTATCCATGTTATTAGACTGACTTCAGAGAGGATAGTTTTATAGTCTGTAGTTTTAAGGGAAATTTATTGACATATAAAGCTCAACAAGAGGAAAGTAGACCTAATTATCATGTTTCTAACCTGTCTGCATTTTGTGATGCTGTATTACCATGAGCTCAGGTGATCCTAGATGCCTGCAAATTATAACAAATGAAATTGTACAAATTGCAATGGATAATAGCATGACAAATTTCATTGTATTTCTGAATAAAAAAGAATGACTCCCCATTATTTTAAATCATTGTCAGAAATTTCCATAAATTTACATTTTCTCATCAGTCGCTGGTTCTTAAAGTTTAATAAGATAGTCCAAATTGACAAAACTCTTAAGTCCTTGCCCCTTGTTGAAGATGTTTCCATAGCATGATGGTTTATTATTCTCTACTCCAAAGTATCTGGTATCTACATTCATGTTAAACAACAACAACAAACAGAAAGGAAAGAAACATAATAAGAGAATTGCATAGAATTTTTAGAAATTAATTTAATACACTTGATTGTAGCCAAAAGACGAAGAAGTGATTAGAAATTAATTTAGTTAAAATTATCTGTAGTATAAATCATTTGTCCTGGGGTTTTAATGTGTATTTTGATAAATGTTAGGCATCATATTTCAAAATAAGCTTCCTTTTTTGAGCTTTGTTATTTAGAATTATACCTAGTATAAATGTAAGCTGTTACTCACTGGATTGCTTAGGTACCTGGAAATTCACCACCTTTAGCCATTGGATTAATATGTTAAAGGTAACCTTAAAAACTCCTGGTGCTATGCAAATAATAGGTGCTCAGTAAATGCTTAACTGACTACATGCTGGAAGTCTTCTCTAATAGTCTCCTGAAAGGGGAATGGAAGTCTAGAACACTGGAGGGGAAAAGAAGGCAGGAGTTTAGGACAACATGTTTATGTGGGTGAGAGGGAAAGCCACGGAGACCCAAAAAGGAACCAAAAAGTAATTCTAGTATGTAAAGAGTAGATAATTCTTCTTTTTCCCACAGACGGTATTTTTTTTTCACACTAATTTTTGGTGATTTTCCCTTTCCTGATACTATGTCCTAGATATTTTAAGGACCTTAAGAGGTTTTTGCACAGATGTGCATTTGTTGCACATTCATAACAAAATCTAAGACTGTCATTTCAGAGATTTGTTTCAGTCATCTAGTGACTGATGAAAAAGATGATTTGGAACCTATTTTTGAGATTGGATGATGACATAATAAAGTAGCTTCTCATTTTAATTCTCATAATGACTTTGTGGTCTTAGTTATATTATAAGTAAATATTGACCTCCTGAATCATATACTACCAAATGGCAGGAACTGGGCTCTTAGCCTATTTTATCCTTTCCTCTATATAGTTGGATGAGTCAGAAACACTCAGAACTGCAAGGAGATACCATTGCATTTTAAAACAAAGTTGACTGCCTAATCAATGTTAAGAGACATTGAGAGAGAGAGAGAAATCTAAGACTCGACTTTGGTTAATTGGATTGTCCAGTTGTTATTATAATGCAGGATACTTATTCATCAATATCACTGGCCTTTCAGGATGAGCCATCACAGGCTTCTACATGCATTACTTTATTACTGCCTTTCACACTAGATGATGCAGCTATGATGCTGTCATACTTGCTTGATCTGAAAATGTTGACAATTATTGATTTTCTAAAGTTATGGTACCTATTAATCTCATGTTTTATTAATTTCTAATTTAAAAAAGCATGGGTTCATATGAAACATTACACTGGAAAAAAATATTTTTATTTATAATTGCGACAGAGAAATTTTATAGCACCTGCAACTGTCTATCACATATGCAGCTTCATTGTCTTTTTTTTTATTTTCAGTAGTTACCTCAATAAATCACCTATTTTTAATGTCAGTTATGAACGATATATAAATTATTGCTCTTCCAGTTACAACACAGCATTAATGGGAAATTGTTAATGGGAACTTGAATCATATAAAGTATCTAGAATTTCAAAATGACAAATCTATTATTTATTATGAATAATAGTCCTGTGGTTTAATATAGCTACTTTTTTTTTTTTTACAAATGTTAATCATTCAGCCTAATTCTTTGCACAGTAGAAGAGGAGAAAAATGTTAAGATAAAAATGTGAATTTTGAAAGATGTCTTCTATTCATTTCTACTTATGGGATAATTTCTCACCTTGCCAACCATAACAGAATAGAATTAAAAATAAATAATTTTTAGTATTATGCCCATCTTAGTATTATTTTTTCTTCTTTTTCTTATGCATCACTATATGATTTAGTAAGTATTGTTCCCCTGAGTCAAGATATGCAGATGATATTTGCTTTGTAAGTATTACGGAGGAAGGGGTTGATGGATCTGGACTTTTCATCATTGTGTACATTTTTTTTCAGTGTTGCCACTATCATCTTTTCCTGTCTGTACTTATAACTAGAGGTAATATCATAGAGTCTGCTTCTGCACTTATTCAAGTAACAGGTCTTAGGTAAATATGAATTTGAATAAGTGCACAAATTTCAGTGTGTCACCAAAAAATTATTTTTAATTTGATTGACATTTGCAAATAGGAGGCCATATTTATTTGAACATCACCTATAGATGAGTCATGTTCTACCTGCTGGGTTACTAACTCTATATATTTTTAAATAATAATGGCTATACAGGATATAGAAAAAAGTCCTTTAGATAAATAAATGTATACAAGAGTATATTTGATTATTTTATGAGGATTTTACAACAGCTTTCTAGGATTCAGTTACAAGTCAGTTCTCTCTCTCTCTCTCTCTCTCTCTCTCTCTCTCTCTCTCTCTCCCTGGGAGTCTGCATGTATAAACATACATGCACACGAGAGCACTCTGTGAGTATGGATTATTTCATTTTACCTGCATGAAACATTGTCTGTAGTGGCCATTGCTCTGTTCCTCTTTATTCTCTTCTGTAAATCTCAAATTACTCTTTAATATGTGTTTATGAACCATCAATTTTTATCTGCTCCATATTTTAAGAAGGCAAACACAGTTAAGTCAAAATGACTAATGAGATGGTGGGGAGAAGTATGGGCTGATAAAAATTAAATAGGGAACAAACGATTCCCCTTCAGAGCTATCATTTTAATATAGCCAATTATGAATAAAAAGCAGCTTTCTAAAACATTTCTTTTAATTAAATTTTGTAATAAAGATATATACCCCTCTGCTTTCCAAGCCACATGTTATCTATACTTGCTTCAGCAGGCACAAACAATTCAAGAGAAGTTTTAAGCTCCAGAACCTTTTACACAAGTATAGGAGTCTTATTTTACAGGTTTTTAAAGTGTAATGCATAGTTTCTGTCAAAACACAAAATCTTTGGCAAAAATCTACCATGTTTTCATCATGTTCTGTGAACATTACTTCACCTCACTTCTCTCGCCTGGCAACACCACATTCTCAGGAGAATTCACAAGCAACTCATCATCCTTCTCTGTTCCCTTCCAGGTCACACTCCCCTAGAATTCTTGAAGTGTTTCGCTCTGGGCTCATCATCACTGTCTTCATTACTACTCTTGTTTTAATTATTGGTGATTTCAACATTGTGGCAGATAATCTTTCTAATTATCTGGCTTCTTGGGTGGGCCTCACTGACCCATTTCTCTTCAATTATCTGTCCTTCATCCTAACTCAGGCACCCAGCCACGATCATTTCCTGCAACCACTCTGTATTCTCAATTTCAAATTGCCTAATTTCCATCCACAATATTATCTTTCTATCTTCCCGTCTCTAATACTTTAGCTCCAAAAATGTTTCAGTCACACCTGGAATCTAATTCTATTATGTTCCTCTTGTCCTCACCTTGTAGCAAATATGCCACAGTTTCCTAGCCCATTGTATTTCCTACTTAAACAGAAGACATTTTTTTCTTTATTACTCAAATCTCTGCCATCTCTCCCTTCATCCTTCCTTTCACTTGGCTAACATGGTTCTTGCCTCACTGAGAAAATCGAAAGTATCTTCGCAAACTTTTATGATCACATTTAAACATCTATCTACAGCTTTATTTACTGTTGATGAATTGTCCATGCTCTTATTTAAAGCCGCCTCTTCCAAATGTCTACTAGAACCAATCATCCCTACTGGAGGACACTGATTTAGCAATTCAGTATTGCCCAGTCCTTCATCATAGAGAGACAAATAGCTGGGCACAGAAGTTCACACCTGTATTCCCAGCACTTTGGGAGGTCGAGGCAGGAGGATCGCTTGAGCTTAGGCTGGGCAACATGGTGATATGGCAACATGGTGAAAGTTTGAGACCAGCCTTGGCAACATGGCAAAACCCCATCTCTACAAAAAATACAAAAATTAGCTGGGCTTGGTGGCATGTGCCTATAGTCCCAGCTACTCTGGGTACTGAGGTGAGAGGACTGCTTGAGCCCAGAAAGTTGAGGCTGCAGTGAGCCAAGATTATGCCACTGCACTCCAGCTTGGGTGACAGGGCGAGACCCTGTCTCAAAAATAA